TCTCTTCGAAAAATAATTTTTAACACTTTGTTAAAGTTGTCAACAACATGACCAAGATGTAGAGCTTATCCTGAATTTCTTGCTGGTATAATTTATTTGTTACTCAATCGTATCAGATTTATACAGTTTAATCTGAAAACTGTACATTTTGTTATATTCTAACTATGTTTCATAATATATGTATAATACGATTTATATACATACAAAGATGTATACATAAAGTCTAAAGCATGTGTTGTTGCATATCACGTATACCAGCAATGAATGCATTCATAAGGTCGAAATAAGAATTTTATGTTTCTGAAACAGGCATTGGATTGGGTTCAGGTAGCAATCCTAAAGTTTGCAAACATATCTGTGCTGCTTCTGCCTTTGCTTGTTTTTTATTAGGACTTGCTACGCTCGGTTTATATTCAATTCCATTTACTTTGACCTGAAAGACAATATTAAATGTAAACAATATGCATATGAGTATTTTACATAAGGATATAAACTAAACCATTAACGTACTTTAAAAAGAAAATTTTTCCTGTGATCTGGTCCACATTCAAAACACAGTTCATATACTGGAGCACCAAGTTTTCGTTTCGAGCAATATTCGCCTAAAAGCGATACTGGATGTTTCCCTACAATATATTATTATATTAGTATTATATTATTATATTATATTATATTAAGTAAGTAATTATATTATATTATATATTATATTAGTATTATATTATTGTATTAGTTTACGTATACCGTGTCTACGTAAATAAGCAAAATTCTAATGTACAAATGAAATTTGAACACCATCACATACCTTCTAATGTTTTGATCGCAGGTACTAGCGGTTTCGTAGTTTTTCCTATCTTCTGACCAATATCTTGTTCGGAGACAAGCCCCCTTTTATCCAATTTGACCTCAAGCTGCAACGGCTCAAGAGTGCCTTCTTTATTTTTTCCCAAACCCTCCCCTGGTCGCCAACCCATCTTCTGCAGTAAAGCCATACCCATCCCACCCGAAACAGGTTGTGCTGATACTAATTGATCCTAAATAGTTTTTTAGATTAGGACATAACAAATGTTGCATTGTCAATCAAGTTAATACAGAAAAATGACAGCAATACGTAACAAAAAGTATTAAAATAATTTCTGTCCAATCATGATATTACAATGTAATAGTAATTGACTGTATAAAACTCTAATACTATCTAGGTGAGGATACTTACCAAATAAATTATAAATTTGTCATCACGCCGCTGAAGTTGTTTCTTCTCTGATGTAGCTACGTGCCTGTAACAAACCCTCAGGTGGATGCAGACTAATGCTAAATATCCCAGCTTTATGACAGAAAGATTCAGTAACATCCGATGAAGTCCTATGATAGGAAGCTGATGATAATTAGCAATAATCTCACAAGAGCACATTATAGAAAAGTACTTTAGTTTATATAATTACTATTTTCAGCACCGTGTGCTTAATTAATTACCAGTTATATAACTTTATAGTATGGAAAAGATGTTTAAAATAACGGTGCTCCTGTGTCCATGCAGGCACAGAATCTACCTCTATCTAAGAAATAGTCTGTGCCTACATTACAGTTTCTATCGGATCAACTAGAAATTGATCTTAATGGAAACTGTACCTGAAAACTTGTTACAGGCATATCAGTATCAGTCAATGTATTGTTAAAAAAGAAAACAAAAAGAAAAAAAAAAGGAAAAGAGGATAAAACCAAAATTGTGATGTATACGAAACACGTGTGTTAATATGTACATATGTAGATCTACATTTAAGATGTAAGTTTGCGATCTGACATATAAATATCTTGATAGGTCAAGATCATAACTTTCAGTGATAAAATAAATACAGAGAGACAAACAATGAGACGTAATTAAACTGTAAATAATACTGTTACCTTACGAGCCCAGGCTTGATAACCTGATGTAAGTTCTGCGGGGGAGAGCACTTTGGCTCCTGTACTGCCTGTAAATTGACCTGGCATTTGTTTACTTTCAGCCCATGTTCTCATCTATAATACACCAAATACAATACACATATAAGTAATATATCCATGCATCATTTATCTTATACAATCATAATTATGTTAACAACCGGAAACGGATGATTCTTCAGGTCATTTAAAGTAGTAACTTTTTCCTTAGCGTAAACAAATTGCATTTGTGTTAAGGAAAAAGTTATTTCAAATGACCTGAAGAATCACCCGTTTTCGGGTGTTAACATAATTATGGGATACTCTGTATTTTACATATCAGATAATGTAGTACCTCATTTTGTGCACGGTACATTTCATTTTGAGCACACACGTCATTTGGATTTTCTCTTAATTTTCTCATTGCTGCTAATCTTTGTGACACTATTGAACCAATATCTATTGACTGTAAATAAGTTTATAATAATAAAAATAATATTAACAACATACTTTCCAAAATTATAATTTCAATACTGCACCTCTGTTGGAATTGGTTGAGAAAAAACTGTTGACTGCATTGAATGCACCGGTGGTGTGGGTATGGGTACTACAGCCAGAGGTTTACTTGGAGTAGTGACTGGTACAAACTGTTTCTTCGGTTCCGGTTTTTTAGGAGTGATTGGTACCCACTCGTTTTCTATAAAAGTGTAAAAAGATATATATAAAAACATATTTTGTATTTGAACTGTAACGAGAATTTTACCAGTTTTTCTATGATGTTGTCCACTTGATACTGGAAATTGTAAACGTAATTGGTTCGATGATTCTACTGTCTTTTCTTGGAACGTTTTCGTTGGCAGCTGCTTTGCATCCTAAAATATGATAAATACAAACGAAAACGAGTATATTAAAATAATGAACAAACACACGACGATTATAAAGAAAAGGCATGCAGAATATTTCCAATCTACCCGAATATTCATGATAATAGAATTAGGTCGTCCTTTGAGTAGAAAAGGATGGTGAAAACCTTTCTCAGTATCGCTTCCATCTTCTTCTGAAGAGATACTAGAAAGTTCGCCCAAAGCTTCAGACTTTGATAATGATTTGCAAAAATCTAAAATAAACAATAGTAAAGTTTCAAGTACTGCTACAAATTATATTATCGCATTCATACTAGAAATAAGTTCCTACCTGTCAGTTCGTCAACTGTTTTCCCACCAGCTTGTATCGCTGCGATAGCCTTATCCTGTTGTGCTAATGGTAATGTTCCTTGTTTAATCATGTTTATCGCATTCCTTCTTGCTATTTCTAATAATTTCTTTTTATCGATTTCTATCCTCTCCCTTAAAAGTATATAAATATACATAAATACGTATTAATATAAAGCAGTTTTGATAGAAGAAGATAATACTTCTACTAACTTTCGTTCTTTGCTTCTACTTCTTCCTCGCGAGTATTTATCTCTGCTTCTTTCATCACTACGGCTTCTATGCCTTCGTTTTTCTCTAGATTTAACAGACTCACGTCTATCGTTACTTCGACTTTTTGCACGTCTATCCTTGCTCCTATCTCTTCGTTTTTCTCTCCCTCTGCTTCTACTCCTATGAGAACTTGTGCGTGATCGAGACTCGGACCGTCTCTTTTCGTGCGAGTGACAATTATGACTACGTTTATTCTCTTTACTTATTGTTGTCTTTTGATTACAATTATACTCTTTCTCTTTGTATTCGCTATCCATGTACAACTTTGATTTTTCTATATTGTCCGATCTTTTATCCATATTCTCGAGTCTTTTCTTTTCTTTTTCTCTCAAAATCAATCTCAAATCATTCCTAGAGGTTATTCCTCCTTTCGCTGAATTTAACAATCTATCCTCCATTTTTTCTAAACTTGGACTTAATGTAGGTGATCTTATCGAATTACTTCGTACTGGACTGGGACTCAAAGTGGGAGTCCTATTATCTGTACTACTATCGGATAATTCACCATCTTCCATTCGTGCTGCTTTTTCCTTTACCTTATTTTCTATCTCCTTCACTGTGTCGTTATAAACTACGCTATTCTTTAGATCTTTAATTAAGATTCTTCCCTGCAGCAATTGCTTTGGCTTCTCTATACATGAAAAAGACACAATATGATAATTACTAATTATGTCAATTACTTTTTACAATCGATCGAATAAACTATACGAACCTAGAATTTTAGGTATTAATGGCTCCTCGATTTCGTCATGAATTTTCCTTGAAATTGGTGGAAGTCTAGGACTTTCGGGACTGTTTGTACAAGTATTTTCTAATCCTGGTTCTTTTTTAATCATTACAGTTTCCTCGGTATTTGTACTGACAACTAGATCCTTTTTCTCCAATCCATTATCTTTATTATGACATTTTCCTTTTACGTTGTCACAGGAACTACTAACTTTTGATATTTTACTTTTGGGCTCATCAGTATCCGATGATCTACTTGAATTATTTTCATGTTTTCGTTTCGTTTTCTTTTTATGCTTCTTCTTCTTCTTGATACCTATTTGTTGGAAAGGTATAATTTATGTTTGGCTGTATAACATAAGAATGCTTGTATCAGACTAAAGGAAAGTTCTAAATAAACAAAGGAAAAATCCTAAATGAATGCTAATTATCAAGCGTATTATTATTAGAAAGAATAATAAATTATTATACAATAATAAAAAGAAAACTGTCTTTTGTTTCTGTCCAAATTGAACTGAAAGCAGGTAGAGCATTCTAAGATAACAACACATTTATCACACCGAGTATATGTGTATTTATAATTGAAGACACCTTACTATTATTTTCTGGATCGCTGTTACTGTCGGAAGAGTTATATTTCGACCTTTTTTTATGTTTTTTATCCTTATGTTTGTGTTTCTTTTTCGCTTTTTTCTTCTTAACCTGTGACTTTTTAAGCTTTTCAACTTTGATATTGGCATTTGGAACTTGTTGATCAGTGATGTCTGGTGATGCTATTTCTTCTTCAGCATCAAATGTGCTAAATAACTCTGTTAGTATCTCGTTTGATGATTTCTCTGGAAGTCCAGGTTCCGGCTTAATTTTAATTCTGTCAACACCGACAGCGGTAATTAGATTTGCAATATCGAATAAATCTCCCATTATTGATGGACTTTCATTTTAACAGAGCATTAAGAAACTGTCCAATTGCGTTATAAGTTTTGTTGATATCAAATTTTCACACTATTTGCATTCAATTGTGTTGTTATATTAATCGTATTGAACCAACAGTCATCATTAACACACCACCGAATGTCGCCATTGTAACATTTTATTCGACATCAGCGACATCTGTGTCACTAAAATATGTATGTACATACGTATGTATTACACATGTACATGTATGAACAATTTAAAAAATTTAATTTAGTTGGCAAACTATTTTATGTTGCAAAGTTTTTAATAAGGCAAACGAACACTCACATAAAATCTGAGACTACGACTAAGAATGTGCACAGTATAATATTAATATATGTATTCATATGATTTTTGACTGAAAAGTTAAACTAGAAAATATTTCTCAATTAGGAAACCTCAATAAATCAAATCAATCACATTGGGAAAATTGAATAGACTGTAATTATATATATTGCATTGAATTTTAAAGGATTATTCAAGTATAACGACAGACATATACATACTTGTTTTTTTTATTGTATGCCATTATCACAACAAATTATACTCCAATTGCATGTACAATCATTGATTCTACCATGGATTTTGTAACATGTTATTAGTATGATTATGATAAATTTTTAATGATGTACACGCACTGAACATACAATGTACAGATACTTTAATACATTTTCCTAAGTTCATATTTAGAATATATCAGATGAAACTAAAATAATGCCTACATATATTGATAATGTTGTATTGAAAATGTACAAGAAATTACGTCAAATAGAAACTATGCAGTAATGAAAATATGTTAATGATTTGAAGTATAATATAAGGTAGGATATATGAAAGTCGATAATTCGGATTCGGATATTCACAATTACTTTTGCTTAAATATTCTCAGATACGTTATACACATTATGAAGTGATGCTCCCCCGTGCACCATGCGTACAAATAAAAATAGAACCGTTACCGATACTATTGGACGAAACTAAATTAGGGTAACTAAGTGGACGTTAATTTTATTAGTATTGCAATAAAATTACAATTGAATAATTCTTTCCATTAGATTTCTATAACTTATAGCTGTAAATCTCTACGCGTTTCCGTCATCATTATATACTAATGACTAGACTTCATGTTTTTTTGTTGCTATTTGTACTTTTGTGTAAAGCACATTTTTTTCTGTTGCCTTCCTGATTAGTCCAGTGATGTGGACGACACAAATTTATGAATGTGCAAATAGCAACATTCAGTTGCAGGTACAGCTTGTTATGTTTCAGACAAAATTATTCTGAAAACTTGATTAGGGATCAGTATGAGCAAGTATCTTACGACTCCTCTACTCGTGATATGTTATGCATTTGTAAGAATACTTAAATACATATATTTATACCCTTTGTTGTAATACTGATCGCACGTGGACAAATTTTAGGACATGAAGAGAACTCTTCTTTAACTATGTCAGAACCATGAAATATATTTGTTGCGTTATCGATCACGTTCGAATAAATTTTTCTTCGTCCTTCACGTGTCAACGATTTACACATACAAAGCCTTGAAAAATTGGTAGAATTCTTATAGCTTGTACCCGCAGACTGGTATGCTACATGAGTCATGTCATTTAGTGCAGTTTGCGATGATTATCGCTACCAGTCGTGGATGATCGAGTATAAAATACTATAACAGAAATCATATGTAGAATGTAATCATTTTCTATCACAAGCTATGGAATACTATGAGAAGAAGGCTCGCACGGTCATAGTAACAGGCTCTCTGCATACTGCACAAGTTGTCATACCAGGAGCACATTTAACACAAGCTACTATGTGTCCACATGGTAAAAATACTACTCCTAATTCTCCATTGTAACAAATTTTGCACATCCTCGCATCATCTATAGGTTTATTGTTTTGTGTCTTTGAATTAGATAGATCTTCTATGCTTTCTTTTTCCAATTCTGTGATTGATCCAATGCTTTCTATACCACTATCAGCAGAACCAGTCTTTTGAGAACTTGGACCAGGATTATTTCCCGCATCTTCTTTCATTTCTGTGTTCGTCGGTACAGGCTGAACTTTTTTGATAAAACTTGGTAAATTCATCTGCATTGTTTCCTGAAACAAAGTAACATAATAACAATGATCCGTGCACAGAGAAAATTGACAGTCTAAAATTATTATACATACCTCCTTGGATGGTGGGGATATATGCTGACCCGTAATTTTATTAACATAGTCTTGACCTTTAACCATCAGCAGATAATAACATTTAGAGAACCATTTTGCGTGTTGTTCCCAGGGGTCGTCCTCTAGTTCCCAATCTTTCAGACCACCACCACAATGATAACACAGAGTCTGGTCACCTTTACCGGTATAATAAAAACCAGCATCAGCTAATTGTTCTTTCGTTTGTGCCATAATTTTTGGCCATGTTTCAAATGTACGTAGTCTAGCATCGTGACTAGCGTATTCAGGATATACAGGTCCCTTAGGTCTTCCTAAGCCTAAACTGCTTAGTTTTGCTGTACTTGGTAATTGTAATTCTGAGGTTAAATTATGATTGTCTGGACTTGAAGTAGGTCTATATTCTAGTCCATAAGGACCACAAACGTCTCTACTTCTTGGCCTCGGTGGTAAAACTGTGTTAGGATCTACTCCGATTGGGACATTACCGCAATTAATTTTGCGAATAAATCTGCATCTTGCTGACCAACGTTGATGATCAACCATTGGATTATCACCTTCTACCCATTGACATATTTCTACGTGGCATTCAAAACATCTTACTTTATCGCCTTCGCCAGTATAATAAAATCCAGCAGCAGCTAGTCTTTTGGGCTCTATAATATATGGCACAGGCCAATTCTCAAAACTCTGCAGTCTTGCTTGTTCATAGCGATAATCATTGTTATCCACAACGTCCAATGAATGAGTTGTTATAGGAGTTGGTGGTGTTAACTGCGGATTTGCTGAAGATTTAATATTTGAATCGCTGCCCAACTCTCTACGATGTTCAAGAATACCAGTCATCGTATTTAAGTTGTTTTAGAGGTAATTTTTTTGAAACCTATCAAAAATGTTGAATGTAATATAACGAAAATCTTATCATTGTAGTTAATTAAAAATATCATGTACAATAATCGGAATTTTCTTTGAATTCGGTTTTCGGTAGTAGTTTTTAAAAAGCTCGAGAGACACGTTTGTTTATTTAAAAATTAATTTTCCATGACGAAATTATGTGACATATGGCACCTACACATATGACGTAGCGCGCTGTATCGATGGCTGTACGATTGTGTTGCACATTTATGGGAGAAGAGAGAGAGAGAGAGAGAGAGCGAGAGAGAGAAAAAAAGAAAGAGAGCTTTAGTAAGTGGGAGTTGCTAGGTTGGTCGTGATTCCGTTATGATTCGTGAATGACGGAGTATCGTAGACTTTTCACACAGCTTCGTGACGTCGAAATAACGCAACCTACATATCACACACAAACAAGAACTTCCCAGAACGGGCTTGGTTTCTCCTCTCTTACGATTAGTTCTCAGAGATACACACAAACGCGCACACAAGGGCAGCTGTAATACAGAGCCGCTGTTTACCACCCTGTGCGACGTTGCCGCTTGTATGGCCCGTATTTTAACTTTTCTTGTTGCATTACACCACTGCGAGCTCATGGGAATGAAATGTATCGACAAGGGCGTAGCAACAACTTCTTACTATTTTTTCAAACAATAATACTTCATTAAACATTCTAGACATTGTATTTTCTCTAGTTTTTAATTGTTTCAACGACACGTATTTAACAATCAAATGCTTTTCTGTTCACTAAATTCATGAAAAAATTAGATATACATATTTGTATAATATACGTTCAATGTAAAACTTGCAGGAATTTATTTGTATAAATAGCTGAATTATATCATATTGTTTGTATTGTTCGTAATAAAAGTAGTACGTCAATTTGTATAAAGAATGTTGTATACTATCAAGAAAATACAGTTTACGTAGGGAACTAAACCGGTTTACTACGGTTCTGAGCTGGAAATCTACAGTGAATTCCTTTCTTCCCCCTTCCGGAACACACACTTTTGTAATAGTCTGTTCGTGTGAAATGAAGCTACAAATTAATCATACCCAGAAATCCTGGAATTACTAAGATACTACGCGATAAGAAAATGAGTGGAAGAGAATTATCACTTCAAAAATACAATTTATATTATAACGTTTTCATCGAACGATTTATATAAAAATATTTCCTATGTTATATTGCATCTTTATCGAAAATAAAATAGTTTACGATTTTTATAATAATTATCATTTTCTAGATTACAACATTAATTCGTATGAAAATATGACACACTATCGATTGTGAAATTAAAGGTCAACGGTCATTTGTGTTCCAAGTAATATCAAAATGAACAAAATTGTGAATGTAAAATATTTGTGATGGAACGAAATCTTTTATTATTCCCTGAACTTTCACATCTGTTTAATTCGAAACATCTGGCAACGTCGTGATGAGCAACAAGGCAAGCGTAGAACGGAAGTTGGATACGAGCAGCACAAATTCAAACTGGTTAATTGTTTGCATAATGAGGAAAAGTTTAATTTGCTTTTACGATTAGTCATTATCTTTAAATAGCCTGATTTTTAAGTTACATGTCATTGAAGAATCAACCAAATGGTATAATTGTTTACCTCATCTTGGTTGAGATTTCTCAAATTCGTCAAAAACACATTGATAACCAATAGAATTACTTTATATCTAAAATCTTAACCAACACGATGTCCTAACCGTATTCTTTTTTTAAAATGAATGACAAATAATCTACATATAGTCATAAGTAAAATATATTATAAACGTGACATACCAATTTTAAGAACAATAGTTAAGTCTTGCCGAACACACATTCACTTTGTTGTTTTTTCGTTTCTTGTGATTATTTCTTCTGTTAATCGGTAGTTTCACGAGAGCACAAAAAGTTGTTTTATCGACTACTGCATTACCTTTATTTGTTTCGTTTAACTGATATTACTTTAATAGTTAAAAATCTATTAGAAAACCATCCTATTTGAATTTCACTAATTACTGGTAAAGCAGAGTAATCTTTTCTTAATTTTTGATGACAATAACAGCTAACAGCAATGGCTTCTACTTCGCTGTGCTTCTTCGTCACAGCCAGCTTGAGGTGGAGTCCCCCACTCGGGTTCGATCCGATCAAGGCATTTTACAGAGCAGCGGCAGAGACTACGTGCATACTGTACTGTACTGTACTGCGTTCTTTCTCTCTCTCTCTCCCTCTCTCCGTTTTCAACTACGCATTGTACATTCGTACTTGTGCATACATACATACATAGTCCATAATATGTACGTTTTATTGAAATTTTTGTATTTTCAAACTGCATACAAAGATATACTTACACTCTAATATAAAATCAATATATTCATTACTTCTATGTATGTATTTGCATTTTGATCTTGTATATGTATGTATACATTCTTAAATGATTTTTCAACTTGTATTTTGATATATATTTATAATACAAGTCTAGATGTATAAATTAAATAAAAATCCTATCGTATTACTTAGAATGTGCAACACAAAATAATTATTGACGCGTGGGATTCAGCACATAACCAAATTTTACATGAAAAATATTCTCATAATAAAATGAATCGAAATTTCTCGATCTTATAATTTTATCTCATACCTTCTAAATCATTTCAGTACACGTGACCGATTCTTAGAACAAATTTTGATTACTGTTTGTCAAGTCATACAATGTTTGAACAATAAATTAATTATAGAAAACATACATTATACAGTGTCATTACATTGTTTTGCAATTATTCTTTAAAACAATGATATAAATATTCAGAAGATTTAAATATTGTAACTCCGAACAACATGATTGTTATAGTTTAAATTTGTTTAACTCGTACTTACCTTCAGAAAATCTTAGTTAACACCACGCATACTATCTATAAATCCTGACACTATATTAAAAACTACCGCAGTGCGGTACCCACATATATGCGCGTAGCTCAAGCTATCTTTCGCATTATCTTTCAATACACTTTACGACACATTTCAGAATTCTTATAAACTGGATATCACTCGAGTTTAAAAATATATATATTATCAGTAGATACTGAGTATTGTAATATGTATTGCTAAACCATTGGGTTAAGGTATTTCCTTTATACATACATTGCTTCTGCAGTCTTATATAAAAACATTTTGAATATTTAATAATCCCTACAATAAATTATGTATATATATACTTTACTATACAATACAACTAATTAATTGAAACATATTGTGTGTAAATTAAAAACATTGATAATAATCTAATGATATGTATCCATATAATTAACTAAGTTTATTAAATATGTAAATCATTTTCTTTTTATGAAACCTTTCACGGTTGTAGTAAATAAATAGATATTTACATTTGTAATATAGTTTCATCCCACGAACAAATATAATTCAAACGATAAATAACATAATTCTAAAACACTATATAAGAAAATACTTTACATATATCATATATATTTTAACATTTTTAACCATAGAACTAGAATGCATAGGTAAGACTAATAATTAATACCCTATTCATTGCAATTTAGTTCACGATAAAAATGTACGAACAGTAGCTCGAATTTCTTGTCGACACATTTGACAATAAGTAAGGGATGGAGCACAGTGAATGCAAGTTGCCAAGTGTCCGCATGGCAAAAATACAATTGCTATTTCCCGATCCATACAAATTTTACATAAACGAGCTTCCTTTAATCTTCTATTTTCTTCCTTCAAGGATGCTAGAAAGAGTAAATGTTATATTTTACTAAACATATAAAAATAATAAAAAATATTATAAATACATGTCATGAAACTATCGGATTCAAGGACGTGAAAAAATCTAGTTAGCTTAACAGTTATTGATATCTTATCAAATCAAGGAACTGAAGCTATTCAAGCTTCATTGTCATCACTTGCCATTTTCCTCCACTTTTACGTCCTTCTTCTTCTGAAAAGTATAATTACGTATATCAGACGGTTTGGAATTTTCCCTCTCATTTGAGATTAGTTCATTGTTCTCCTCATTTAAGTCTTGCTGATGATTAATTATTTCATTGTCATTACACCTTTCCTTGCGAGCGTCTTCCAGTTCCGATATTCGATGAAACAATCTAGTGATTAAAGTATGTCTGTAAGCCAGGCAATACAATTTATTAGTACTTATTGTTTTATATTGTCAGAAGCTTTGTGTTTAGTTTTGTTATTTATGCATTGCAGATCGCATGAGAGGTCGTTTTAAGTACAAAAATGTTGCAAAATAAGCATTCATGCAAAATATTGGGCTCCCTGATTTACATATAAACTAAACATATAATTAACATACAAGTCGTCTTCTATTCTTGGACTGGAATTTGTATTTAGAGTTTCAAATTTTTCTGTTTCTTCTACAACTCTTTGTGCAGAAGATGAAGCTGCACAAATTGGAATAGGTGATGTTTCGGTTGGATTTGTACTTTCATCTTCTGGTACACCTTCAAAAATCTGTAAAAATATGAAATAAAATTATAATTACAAATCTTTTGTAAACATCGTATAAATATACTAATTAATGTTTACTGATGGAAGTAGCGGTGGTCTATTATCAATGCATTGTTGAATGAATTTTCGTCCTCTTATGAGATTTACAAATTCACATCTAGGAAACCATCTTGCATGTTCAGTCCATACATCGTCGGTTACTTCCCAATCTCTTAAAGCACCATCGCAATGAAAACATCTGACTTGATCTCTTAATCCTGCAAATATAATAATTAATTAATGTAAAAATAAAAATATACATTAATGTAGAATTTAATACTTACCTGTGTAGTAGAATCCTGCGCTAGCCAATATTTCTGGGGTTTGTTTTAGATTTTCTGGCCAACCATAGAAGGTACGCAATCGTCCTTCATATGTTGCATGATGCGGCTGTTTTGGAGCTGCGTGCATTTGAATCCCTAATTCTGTCAGACTCGATGTTGTACCAGGTATTAACTTTACATTGTTTAGACTTAAGGTATCTATTGAACAGAAGGACTATAATAAGATAATTACCATATAGATCTACAGAATATCCTTTTTACAAATAAATAAATACCATCTATGTTTTGATATAAATAGAAATCGCATTTAGGAAAATGTGTTCTATGTTCTTTGTCTGGATCATCGCCAGATTCCCAGTGTCTCAAAACACCTTTACAATATACGCACTGTACCTACAAATGAAAAAAGATCAATGTATAACATACATATTGCGTTAGTACCTGGTAATTCGCCAGGTATTAAAGTACTTTAAATATTCATTACCGCATCTTCGAACAGAAAATAATAAAAACCAGCTTTAGCTAATTTCTCGGGTGACACAATAGAAGAACTTGGCCAATGTTCAAAAGTTTTTAGTCTTTGAGAAATAGTTTTAAGATCTTCTTGAAGATCTCTGTTCTGAGCGAAGGAGGATATAAATTCATTTCCAATGGCATTATTTCCTGTCCATAAATCAGTTGATGTTGAAGTTAACCCATTATAATTGGTGGATATTGGTACTAATGGAACATTGCAGGTATCAGATGGGTTTTGAATAAAATCGCAATCAGGTGCAGCTTCACGATGACGACTAACAGCTTGATCGCCATAATTCCAATCGGAGATTTTCGTTCCACATAAAAAACATTGTACTTTTAAAGCATGTCCACTGTAGTAAAACCCCGCTTTTGCTAATCGTGTAGCATCAATAGGGGCATTTGCTGGCCAATCTTTGAACGTCCGTAGTCTATTTTCTTCAACATTCATTTTGAAATTTGATTCTTAATGTTTGCTTTATTTGATAAAATTCTACATTCTAGTTAAAAAGTACAACAGTTTTATATTGTTTAGAGTGTACATTATGTTTCAGCGTTCTATACGAACAGACCGAGATAATATTTGCTCGTAGGTACTATAAACACTGTACTTTGCTCGTAAACGCATTTGTACGATAAAAAGCAAAATCAAAAATTTGACAAGTTAAATAATATGTGTATGTACACCGACTGTACATACTTACGTATATAAGTATGCTGTATGTATGTGCGTGTATTATTCTGTGCGCGTACTGAATTCGTTGCGCATGTGCAATATAGCGACATGTGTATGTATGTACCAGGAACGTATTCTTTTCAAGGTGCTAAATTCTTTGAAGTACATTAAGAACATGTATTACGTTCCTTATAAGAAAATAAGCAAATTCGACTAATTTAGAAGAAAAAGTAATATAAACACGTGAAATTAATAAAGAAGAATAATAGAATAAATAATTTTATTAAGACCCATGAAAATTAGAGAGCCCTGGTTTTGATGGGAGTATGGGGCTGCACCGCTTTCGTTATTCGTTATTGCAATGAGTCGAAGCTGATGTGTAAGACTGATAAAAGTACAACAAGAATTGAATACAAAAAAATAAGCTTATTTTGTACTGATCAGTTTTCATGCATATACATAGAATATTGTAAATTGCAACAGGTGTGACGCAACTATACTCTACTGCACAATGGCGTTATTAAAGAACATAAGGAGTGTAAGTCAACGAACTTTCAACTGTTTTTTAAGTGACCAAATTAGTAATAAAACAATCCCTTTTTAAGAAAATTATCAATGTAGAATAGATTATATAATAATGTTGTGTGTGTGACTTTCTTTAGTATGAATAATAGTACAATTCATTTTAAATAAATATAACTACCCGTTTGTAACACTTTATTATCATTTATGACTATTTTTTTCCAGGTTCGCCTGATATGTTTGCGATCATATTCATCCAAGACAAAATTAAATGATGTAGTTATAGTCAGTGCAGCTAGAACACCTATGGGATCATTCCTTGGAGGATTATCAAGCATGTCTGCACCAAAACTTGGTGCTGTTGCTATACAAGTGAGGACTAATATACAGAGTCAGTTATTTAACTCTTTCATCTTAATTTTTCTTGTAAATTATATGTTGCATGAAAAACTAATTGTTTGTAGTTTATGAGAAAAATTAAGGTGAAAGAATTTAATGACTCATTCTGTATACATATCTATATAATTTCATGTATGAATAAATCACAATTACAATTAAGATGTACAATATTGAAACATTTATTATTATAGGCAGCGGTCGAACGTGCTGGATTACCCAAGGAAGAAATTAAAGAAGTATATATGGGAAATGTTTGTCAAGCCTTTTTAGGTCAAGCACCAGCAAGACAAGCTACACTGTTTGCAGGTTTCAGTTTCAAAGTAATATTTCATTCATTTTTTGTTGATATGATTATTAACAATAATAATGTACATATTGTTAAAATAGGCCTTCCTAAATCCACAGTATGCACAACGATTAATAAAGTTTGCGCAAGTGGTATGAAAAGCATTATGCTTGCTTCTCAGTCTTTACAATGTGGACATCAAGAGATTGTTCTTGCTGGTGGTATGGAGTCAATGTCGAATGTACCATTTTATCTTGCGCGAGGAGAAACTAGATATGGTGGGATGCAACTCATGGTATGACAAATATAATTTTAAGTGCATATTTGTAATAATCTATACTATTCAATTAATGCACTCAATATGATTTTATTCGACAGGATGGCATTGTATTTGACGGCCTAACCGATGTTTACAATAAATTTCATATGGGCAATTGTGCAGAAAATACTGCTAAAAAATTCAACATTACTCGTGCAGAACAAGATGAATATGCTATCAACAGTTACAAACGCAGCGCAGCAGCTTATGCGAACAATATATTCCAGGATGAACTCGTTCCAGTGAATGTACCACAAAGAAAAGGCAAACCTGATACAATATTTACAGAAGACGAAGAATACAAAAGAGTCGATTTTGCTAAGTTTTCCAAATTGAATACCGTTTTTCAGGTATAACTTGTAAGCCTAATGACAAACGAAAATTAATCAGTGACATAATTTATTTAATATGATCTTGTTTTTTCATTGTAGAAAGATAATGGCACTGTTACTGCAGGAAATGCATCGACCCTAAATGATGGTGCAGCTGCATTAATATTAACTACCACAGACATTGCTGAGAAAATGAATTTGAAACCTTTAGCACGAATTGTCGCATTTCAAGATGCAGCGACTGACCCCATTGATTTTCCTATTGCCCCGGCGTTTGCAATCCCTAAGGTAAGTTACCTGAAATGCATATAGAACAATATTGTGTAATTCTCTGATTATTGTACATTCACTAATCAAGTGAATATTTATTTGTAGTTGTTAGCAAATGCAGGAGTCGATAAAAATGACATAGCCCTTTGGGAAATTAACGAGGCATTTAGTACAGTAGTGATCGCAAATCAAAAAATGCTTGATCTTGACCCTAGCAAGGTGAACGTTCACGGTGGTGCCGTATCTCTCGGTCACCCTATAGGGTACGTATTTATTCAATTAAAAAGCTACATATTAAAGAAATCCATATATTTGTATATTAAATAATTTCTAGTATGTCTGGAGCTCGGATCGTGGTGCACTTAGTACATGCTTTGAAAGCCGGACAGAAGGGTGTTGCGTCAATTTGTAATGGAGGCGGCGGTGCCTCTTCGATTTTAATTGAAAAGTTGTAAGTCTCCTGTCAATTTTATAAATTCTTTTTTACTCTTTTACTCTTATAATAATTATTGTAAGAACTGGTCGACTGACATTAGAATTTACTCATTATGCAATATTTTTATAAAAACCGATTACGAAGAAGCCATATTTTTATCGTATACAAAAATGTGTAATTTAATTGTTGATTATACTTAAGTATATTGTTTATTTTTATATCGGATGTTTACAACAAAATAAAGCATACTATAAGAAAAAAACGTTGAAACTTCTTTGATGGAATAAAGGCTTTTTCTCTTTTATTCTGTAGGCGTTACCCGATATCTGCTTCGCCCACTATAACATTGTACACGAAACATCCGTGTCCGCTTTGCGACGTTTTGAAACACGAATTGCGAACCAAATTTTCTGGTCGTTATCAACTACGAGAAGTTGACATTACAGCACCAGGAAACGAACGATTTCTTGAGCTCTACAAATACGAAATTCCAGTTCTGTTTTTCGAAGGTCAGTTTCTTTGCAAGCATCGGTTGAATTCCGAATTGTTAGAAAAGAAACTGACAGATTTAATATCGTGAATTAACGACACCGAATTATGCAACAATCGATAAACATAAATTCTCATTTTTATATATTTTATTATCGTTATTTCTATGAGTAAATAAAGTATTACAATTGTTTGTATATTATCAAGCGTGTCACGAATTTATTTGTACTCTGTTAATGGTAGAGCACATCCATTAAATACACCTCAATGATAGCAACAACTACAAGGCAAGCATCGCACGAGTACGATCATCGCATTTCATATTCTAATATAAGTTTGATCGCCGAGTAAACTTTGCGGTTCATTCGTCCGCTTTGGTTCGTACTTGTTCTCTCTTTAAGTTGGCTATCCTTTTTCACCCTTTCTCTATGCTTTGCCCCTTTCCTTTTGATTCCCTTTCTCTCTGCCATTGAATCTGAAGCAGGCGGTGGGCAGTAGTGGTAGATATACAAGTAGGCAGATAGACAAGCCAGGCAAGTTGGGCAAGGTAGGCTAAACTAAGCCAAGCCAAGCCAAGCCAAGCAAGCAAACAGGCAGGCAGGCAGGCAACAGACAAGCATACAAGAACGCGTACGCACACACCAACGCGTGTAGACCGAAGAGATCAGTGGTGAATTGGTGAATGCACGCATCGGGCTCTCCTTGCCGACGTTCGTTCTTTCTCAGTGCGTGCCTTACTCGGACACCGTGAAGTATATTTCACTCGTTTCATATTATCTACGTGGCGCGTTGCAGCGAACGTTTTCGTTCAAGTTCCCGGTCAAAAATATACATACGCGCACTCGTAGTAAACCTGTTAAAAGACGAACGTGTATCCTTTATAAATGAAAAGAAGTGGTAGCTGGTTGGTTCGTCGCTACGATAGTGCCTTCGAAGTCGATCGTGTGAGTGTCCTACGCCCTGCCTAGTGTTTCCCGACCGACTACCACGTTGACCAATGCCAAAAATAACACAGCAATCGAATTCAAATGTGGAATTTGAACCACTTGAGAAACGTACGTACCGCCGTGACTTTTGATCGATTGTTCGGTTGATTCGCGCGGCTACTCTCACGAAATCGATTCGGTAGTTCGCGAGAATCCCATAAGATCGAGGAAATGGCAAACACTCTGGTTGAAGTAGTAAACCAGAAGAGTTTTATTTACGAAGAGCGATAATGTGATCCATCGAATTTCTCTCAGGATAGCTTGAAAACTTGAACCATTGCGTATTTGCGAGGACGATCTGCAGAAGAGAAACACAGAAGAACGGTATGAAACTTTCTTTTTCTTTTTTTATTTTGATAGGCGCACTTTTGGTCGCGCTCTAGTCCGCTTTGCAATATTTTTAGACGGCGTACTCGGTCTCGAACGATTCACGAATTTTAGAAAGAGAGAGAGTGAGAGGAAGAGAGTGAGAGGGAGCGAGAGAACCGTTGCATATCCGCGGTTCGTGGCATGTTTTCCGATCGTGTTAGTACAAGTGTATTTCTTTCGTACAATGCAACAACGCAAATGTGAAAGTGTGCAACTCGTGAAGAGACATGTAAATGTTGTGTTTCTTGTGTGTAACTTGTGATTGCCGTTTTAGTCGTTTAGTTGGTGTCGGTGTTACCGTGTTCCTGCACGTTCCAAAGAGATTTTAAGGAAAAACGAAATCTTCGATTGCTCGCTTGATTAAACGCTGTGCCAATGACCTTATTGCAAGACCTTCCAGTCGCTGGATGAACGTTTAGAAAATACAAGAAAGCTAAGGGTACGCGATGCAACATGCATAACATAACAGAATGTGCGTGTTATGAGTGTACATACATTTCGGGCGACTCGGGGAAAAACATATGTGTGCACGATTGAAGAAAGAGGAACAGATGGAAAATAGTTGTAATCGGAACGCATGATGTAAGGAGTAGTTGGCCTTAGATCGCGTATCAATAGTCGCATATCGCTCATAACATCGGACATATTTGTTTGCAACACGTCGCGTTGCCCCTGTTTTTGAATAAAAATGCAAACGCAGTTAGAAACGGAGAAAATCAAGTTTACGTACAATACTGTATTTTATCCAGTTGTTCGGATGTCTTGTTGGAAATAAGTGAATATCGTAAATGAAACGCGACGGTGCGGTACAACATTGATAAGATAAATGCGGGGGAAACTCTGAAGACGACATTTTGTTTAATTGTAGCGCGTAATCGTTTCGTTTGATGGTACAGAAAAATTACCAAAAAAAAATTACTTTTTGGTAATACTTTGTGTCTGCGCGATGTATGTAGTTGCTGAACAGCGAACGAGTTAAGTAAAAGAAAAATTAAATTAATATTAATAATTGATAATAATTAATAATATATAATATAATATAATATAATATAATATAATATAATATAATATAATATACAAATAATATAATATAATATACAAATAATTAATAATAATAATAATTATAAAGAAAAACTAAATTATTATTAGTTATTTATTATATTACACGAGATGCGTGTAAGTAGCGAGGCAGGATTTTGCGACAGTGTCCTTAGAAATCAGCCATTTTTGACAAAGATAAACAATCTCGACGATTTTGTTTATAATTCTATATCTGTCAGTCCTCTCTCTGAATTTTCATTTTAGGTCCGAAATTTGTCGTGAACCCTAGAGCCGTGCCTTTTTGGACGAGTGGATCCAGATAAGGATACCAAATAAACCAAGAATTGCTGCAAAATATAGCGACGAGATTATGTCAAGGTTATGTCAAATCCACATCGGTGGTTTTTTTAAAAATCGTGTTGAAAATATTGGTAACGAATAAATGTTATCAGCTAGACTCGGAGTCACAGGAGCATAAGTGATGGTTTTGTTTCGAAGAAACCAAATAAAAATCAGCGCATGTGTCCGGATTTGGCGTAACTTGAAAATAACGAAGATGACAAGCTTATGCAGTGGAAAATATTATTATAAATATATATATATATATATATATATATATATATATATATATATATATAATATTATAATATTATTATTATATATATATAATTATATATATATATGTTATATTTGTTATATTACCAANGAGTCGATATTATAATAATATTATATACATATATTATAATTATAATAATATATATAATATTATTATAATATCGACTCGAAACCCTAAACGAATATTCCCGAGGCGTTGTCCTGGTTCGTGATTCACGAATCAGCTATGTAGAGCCGTTGCCAGCTGAGAAGGTCCGGCACCGGTTACCTGTTACCTGTTATCTGTTACTTGTTACTTGTTACTTATTACCCGTTACCTGTTGCTTGTTACTTGTTGTTACCTGTTACTCGTTACTCGCTGCTCGTTATTTGTTGCTCCTTACTCGTAACTCGGTATTTATTTGTTACTCGACCATGCGTTCTGCCAGCGGATTCGTCCGGATGTTTCGACCACGACAGCATCTCGCTTTCAGTATTCGCAGGATTTCCAATGGATCCTCGACAAATTCTCCGAGATTGCTCTCTTGCCTGCTTCTTGAGCGTTGATGTCACCGATCCCTCGCCTCCTCCCAACGCGCACAGTGTACACACGTTATACAGGGTGTTCGCGATCTAATGGCAGAATTTGAAAGGGAAGATTTTCGAGAGGGCTCGGTGAAAAAATTTCCAATTAAAATGTATCACGATTCGATGGAACCATTTAAAACAAACAATTAATGAAGTTATTTTCAACGGACTTGAAGAAAAATGGCGAATCGGCAGGAATGTACGCGACCTTTCCTACTTACTATCGCGACGATCAATGGGATTAGATGTGTCAGTGCCGGCGTGAATTCGCAGTTCGGGCGAAATTCGAGTAGCTCGGAGCACGTGGAAAGAGATAAATGCGAACACGTGGCAAACTGTGAACTCGCACAGGAAATAATGAAGAGAACTTTTGCTCGATTCCAATAGCGCGAACAGCTACGTAGTACAGACCGGCAACGTGTATCATCGGGTCAGTATAAAGTTGTAGAAAAAAATGGTATTCATGTTTCGAGAATCACACTGTTTAGAAGGTTACAGGAGCTGGGAAGGTCGAATATGTCAAGGGCGCTTAGTGGCCACGAAAACGCCGGAAAACCTCGAGGCGATTAACCTTTTAGGTACGGCTGAATTCTGTGCGAGGCTATTTCTCTGGACGGCAAAGTCTGATGTGTACTGTACAGAGTCTGATACTGTATATACAGGGAGTCCCAAAAATGTCTCGCAATCCGAAAGTGGCGGGTTCCTCGGGCCATTTGAAGCAACTTTTTCCTTTACAAAAATTTTCTCCGAGGCACCGTTAACGAGTTATTAACGAAAAACAGTGACCAATGAGAGGCGAGCTCGGTTGGCTCGGCCGCCTCGCGTCAGCCGTACTCGATTCTAATTGGTCACTGTTTTTCGTTAATAACTCGTTAACGGTGCCTCGGAGAACATTTTTGTAAAGGAAGAAGTTGCTTCAAATGATCCGAGGAACCCGCCATTTCCGGATCGCGAGACATTTTTGGGACACCCTGTAGACTGTTGTAAATCGATGTGAAGACAAAAGAAGTGTGAAACAATGCATATGAAGACGATTATTTGGTTCAAACGATGAGCGAGTGAGCTACTAGAGCAAGCCACTATAGTGGCGCGTCGTCCAGAGAGATGACATCCGCGAAAGCCACTATAGTGGCGCGTCGTGCCTAAAAGATTAAGCAAATCCGTCGGATGAGTTTGTTGCAAACAATCGATGCCCGCGGATCATCTGTTAGCGTTGCGTCGTTAATAACGTCTAATGATAGCGCAACACCGTCGTCGGAACTCTGGCAAATTTTCCTCGACCGTCGAGCATTCGATGCATTCGAGCGCTGCTCTTCGAACGGTAAACTCGTCGTGCGCAGCCGGTACCGTTTCGACTTTGCAATTAATTGGAGCATGACACCTGGGTGGATGTTTCGTAATATTCTTCGGTACTTTGCAGTCGGTGAGTCGTTTTTAAACCAAATCGGTGCAAGTCCGGCGAAAAATCAGGACGAGAAGGACGCCTCGACGGGCTTTAGCCGTTGATAGGAAACTATATATTTGAGCCGTTTATTTTGAAAGTGGCATAAGTCACTTTACCGTATTGAAAAGTGGTGATTTTTTCATGTTTATACGAAATTATTTATACTGAGAAAAATATCAGTATCCTGAGATAACAAATACAAGTAAATCTTCTCGAAAGTTAGCATCCGTATTTTTAAACGTGTTAAAACGCAAACCCTTAAATATATCGACTTAAAAACAAAGTGATTTATGCCACTTTCAAAATAAACGGCTCATTTGTTGGTTGTTATCGATATTATCAGGATCGAATTTTCTCGGACGCGAACAGTCCATACGAGGCTAAAATTATGCAGTTGGACCTATACATAGATTGTCCGAATTAATAATTACTTACTCGTTCGTTGGACACATTGTAGAACAGTAACACTTTTATACAGGGTGCCCCAAAAATGTCTCGCAGTTCGGAAATGGCGGGTTCCTCGGATCATTTGAAGCAACTTCTTCCTTTACAAAAATGTTCTCCGAGGCACCGTTAACGAGTTATTCCTTTGTTAATAAAAATATAGAAACTCTGTTTAATTTAAAACGCAATAAAATGTCTGTGCAACACGCACAGAACGCACACATGCGCAAATAGCCTCCTATAACAGAGAAAAAAAAACAGGTCGCCCGCAGTGATCAAAAGTTTGGTCACCCTTGATTCTACATACATGGTGTTCCGAAAATGTCTCGCAATCCGAAAGTAGGTGATTCCTGAGGTCATTTGAAGCAACTTTTTCCTTAGCGAAAATGCAATCCGCGGCTTCGTTAACGAGTTATTAACGAAAAACAGCGACCAATAAGAATCGAGTACGGCTGATGCGAGGCGGCCCGGCCAACCAGCGCGCGAAGCCCAGTTCCGCTCCATTGGCTCGGTCGCCTCGCGCCAGCCGAGCTCGCCTCTCATTGGTCACTGTTTTTCGTTGATAACTCGTTAACGGTGCCTCGGAGAAAATTTTTGTAAAGGAAAAAGTTGCTTCGAATGACCCGAGGAACCCGCCACTTTCGGTTTGGGAGACATTTTTGGGGCATCCTGTATTTCGACGGGCGTCGGAAGGTGCATCATTATTACCAGGGTCAGGTAAATTTGGCAGAGTTTGAAACTGGAAGAAAAGACTATGGACCCCCTTTATCTATCGTTCTCGTTCGAACGGTGAACTCGAGGTTGACTCGAGGGTTGATTTTGAACGAGGTTCGATCAAGTCGTTGGCCCGTAGTAAGTAAAAATATTCTCGTTTCAGAGGTAGCCCGCTGGAAAATGGCGTCGAGTGAGGACGGAGATTTGATCGATCTCGGCAACGAGGACCTGTGCGTGCCGCGGGTACCGTTTACAGAGACGTTGCCCGAGCAGGAGCATCTTCTGGACGTGTGTCCGCCGAAGCTGGAGGAGACCCTCTCGCTGACCAGAAAGCAGGAGCAAATGCAGAACGTGAATGACAGCAGCGACGTGCTGGTCACCTTGGGCCACGACCAGGTGATGCCAATCCGCAAGAGGATCGACGTGGTCTCGTCCGACACGATTAAGAGGGTCCGCGACATCACCAGAAATTTGGAGCCGGTGATAAGAAAGACTCGGCCGGAGACAAACAAGGAACCCCACGACACTGTGGACCATGGAAACGCAACCACGAGAAATCTGAAAAACGACGATTGTCCGAGCTCTGACAGGGCCACCGGCAGGACCACCGACAACGCCTCGGACAAGGCCTCCAGGGGTCATCAGGAGGACGAAACCTTCGAGGCGCAAGAAATTAGCAATGCTTTCGATTTCCTCGCGGAACACGAGGACGTCGAGCTCGACCAACTGGACGAGCTCGACCCGGAATACGATCGCTGCGACACGCTCGAAGATCCTCCGCTGTTGACGGGACTCTCCGCGCGAAGCGGCCCCGAAAACGAGGACCTGTTGAGTTGCCATCGCGCTTCTTCTTCGACGACGTTCAACCGGAAACCACCGGACAAGTACTTTCTCCGCGACAATTTCCACGTTGCCGAGAAAAGCAAGCCGACGTTCGAGTTGTCCTCGGGCGACGCCGCTTTGAAAAGCGCAAGCTGCGCCGACTCCGTTGATCGGGAGTTCGAGCTCAAGCTCGAGCTTGAGCTTGGTCTCGAAACCGGCGGCGGTGTCGCTATCGTTAAGAAACGCTACCAGAACGGCTCGTTCGGTCGAACGGTCGGGAGATCGTGTTTCCAGCGTGCGCATCGCAAATCGTGGACGGAAAGCGGTAGTCCCAAAAATGATTCCAAGGATGCCTTCTTGCGGTTCGAAAGATCCAGCAGTTTGAGGGACTGCAGCAGCGAGCCGTCGTCTTCTAAAGCTGCTCGTAGGCAGTCCAGCTTTGTTTCAAGGTAGGAGGAAGGCTGCGCGTGCTGGGACACCTAAAATAAGTAACGCTTCTAGAAAAAAGCGGTTGGCTTTTCTTTAGCGTTTCATGATTATCATTATTTTATAGTGTCAAATGCTTTTCGAATTTGAACTTTTAGCCACTGTTACGGCCGCGGTACTCGACATTATGCGACATTATTCGGCCCTGATAAAGATAAAGAAGTAGATTATTATTAATATTTTGTATTATAATTATATTATATATTATATATTATATATTATACATTATATATTATATATTATATATTATATATATATTATAATATATTATATTATATTTTTTTATTAGATTATTAGATTATTATTAATATTATTAATTATTATTAACCCTTAAAACGGTCCAGAAGTATTTCAAGTTTACTTCCCACCAGATCCAAGCTATTTTTCAAATCAAAACAAGACTGAATTTGCACGCGACTAACACAAAAGTACACTTACGTAAAAACGGTAAAAGGTAACGGAACATAGATAAAAAGCAGAAACCTAATTCACAAAAATGACATGGCACAATATTTAACGCATTACTAGTACATGTAACAACAATCATAGCAATAAAAATAATAAATCTTGCCGCCATATGCGCGGCATTGGACCCGGTAAGTAAGGTACAATGCCGCTCGTACGGCGTCATTGGTTCGTTAAGGGTTAAAAGATGACTCGATTCTAGCACTATAAAATACGTACATATATGGGCCGTTTATTTTGAAAGTGGCATAAGTCACTTTACCGTAATGAAAAGTGGTGATTTTCTAATGTTTATACGAAATTATTTATACCGAGAAAAATATCAGTATCCTGAGATAACAAATACAAGTAAATCTTCTCGAAAGTTAGCATCCATATCTCTAAACGTGTTCAAACGCAAACCCTTAAATATCATATATCGACTCAAAAACAAAGTGACCGACTTAAAAACAAAGTGACTTACGCCACTTTCAAAATAAACGGCTCATACGTACACGTAGAAAGCTTCGAGGCGACCGTTAAAATGTACGGTGAAACAGCTTGTTTGTTAACACACGATAACAGATGTAATCCGAATTGCAGATTTTCCGTGAACGACGAGCTGGACGAAGAGGACACGAACCCCCAGGACGGTTGCTCGGAGTGCTCGGAAGTGGACTGGTCTTGGCTGGAGGAAGTGGAGTGTCCGCGAGCCGCGGATCCATCTTCGACGCTGGTCGCGGTTCAAGAAAACGCCGAACACCATCGTGGAGGGAGCGCATCCCCCACCAGGGAAACCGCAAGGCGCAAGCGCGGCTGTGAGCACCGTGCTACCGACGCGGGCTGCAGTGCCGCGATGTCCGTCTCCGGGACGGCAAAGTGCCCGGTGGTGGTCGGCGATTTAGGATGGTCGATCACCTCCTCCGACCAGCTGCCTACCGATCCCGCCGTGGCGGAGATCGATCATCGCGATGAAGCGCCGCGCTGTAACGCGAGCAGCGCGACGAGCAACGCGACGAGCAACGAGACCGTCCGCGACAGCAACAACCCCGCCACGCTGGTGAACTCCTGGCTGAGAGCATCGATGAGACGTCTGCGACACCTGAGGCTACCGGACGGGTTCGAGCGGCAACACGGTGGCAGCGATTCCAGTAACCGGCGAGGATTCGGCGTAAACACGACCGCGTCCGAGAGTGCTATCGCCTCGGTCGTTTCGACCGCGACCGCGTCCGCGCCGAACTCGTTGCCGGACATAGCGTTGATCGCGCCGGAGATCTTGGCGGCGCAGACAAACGGCACGTCGGGCACCCTTCTGAGGCCGTCCAGCGCCCCTGTCAGAAACGCGAACAGCTCGAGCGCGGTGGCTCTGCGACGGGGCGGCCGACAGCTCGGTGGAAGCCGGCTCCAAGCCGGCAGGGACAGTCGGGAACCGTCCTCCAGGCAGAGTAGCGTTCTGTCGACCACGTCGGGGACGACAACGTGTTCCAGCTCTTTCGGCGATGCTTCCACCAATCCACCTTCCAGCACGGTGACCAGTCCGCAGCGTGTCGCTTCCAGACGGTGAGCGCTCGTATCTCTTTTTTTCCTTCGAATCGCTTCTCTCTGCCTCGGACAGTCTCGTTGTTTATCCGACTACACAAAGCTTTTCTATCGCAGCAGCCGAATCGATCAGGTCTCGCATTTTACGCGCGTCTGCAGCATGCGACCAGCATGCCGGTTATGGGACCTAACTCAGGGACTAGGTAATACTAATATCCGTCTATCTGTACGTGTGTACATAGTTCCAAAACGTTACGTACGAGTATACGACGCTCAGATTGTCCAGAAAAATGGACAATTTGGAAGAAGTAAATACGATTATTCGAGCCTAGTTTCTAGTTTTTATAGTTAGCGATTGTGAAAACGAGCTGCAAGGCTCGAATAATCGTATCTCCTCTTACCAAATTGCTGTCTCTTATACACATCTAGATGTGTATAAGAGACAGCAATTTGGTAAGAGGAGATACGATTATTCGAGCCTTGTGGCTCCGTTTTTTTATGGTTATCGATTGTCATCAACTACAAAAACGAGCTGCAAGGCTCGAATAATCGTATCATCTCTTACAAAATTGTCCATTTTTGTGGACAATCCGAGCGTCAATTAGAGAGACATTACTGCACTGCCACTTCTCCGTGACGATTATACTCGTCACAAGCACAGCTAATTGGTTAAATTGCCGTTTTAAATAGCTCTCGATCCTTGCGCTATTTTAGATTGTAACAAACCGTACGTTGTCACAGTTCCTAGCATAACAACCGTTCACTTCATCGAATCGTCGAAAATTCACTGGTCGACTGATCCATTTGAATACATCGGGTCAACATGACCCGGTGACCGCAGGCCGTACATTATACGCAGTGACGCGTCTTTTAAGAAAATCGAGGCACTCGAAAGCCTCGGTTACAATGCGATAGATCCGAGGAGCGAAATCCGAACGAGTCGCGACTTTGCTCGCAGATCGCACGCTTCTAAGTAAAATAAATACAGTAATGTCTCTCTAATTGACGCTCGGATTGTCCACAAAAATAGGCAATTTGGGAAGAGGAGATTCGATTATTCGAGCCTTGCAGCTCGTTTTTATAGTTGTTGACAATCGATAACCATAAAAAACGAAGGCTCACAAGGAACACAAGGCTCGAACAATTGTATCTCCTCTTACCAAATTGTCCACTTTTGTGGACAATCCGAGCGTCAATTAGGGAGACATTATTGTACTTCTCGTCTAATTTGGCGCCTCGTTCGCAAGCTTCCATGATCGTCGAAGCACAGAGTTCTGAAGAAATGGCACGCACATGCGGGGCTACGTGTTGATAAATTCTCGATGCCAGAGTCACGAAAGTATAGGAGACGGAAATTCGAAGCCGTTCGCGTTTAAAATAATCGATTCAGAATTCTTGGTCCCCGTTTTCGCGGCGATACTCTGAGAACGCTGGTCGCTAATTTTCTCTCTCCCAGTCATGAAGTAACCGAGATTATGTACCTGGTTGTAAATGGATTCGTTGGAATCGAATTGTCTCGCACTTTTACGTCGTTCGATGGAATATCTTGTCACGAATCACCGTCGGGACTTTCCTTTTACTCGACGCGACGCTGTAATCGAACGTCGTCCGACGTGGATCAATTTCCTAATTCGGTGTTCGAATTCTGGTCGATTTGAATTTTTCGTCAACGATCCGCCCAAGCAAAAGGCGTAGATGACGGCGACGCCGAACGTAGACGTTGCGTGCGATTCGATCGAGCTCCACGGAGGTCGATGATCCCGATCGTGCGATCGCGCGATCGCTTAGAGATTGTTTCACCGTCGATGAACCGTGTAACCTGTTGCGCAATCCACGATCCAGCGCCGCGGAGCAAGATCTCCCGACGGAGTCGGAAGCAATTCCGTGTGCACGCCGCTAGACGACAAGCAACGGTCGTGAGAGAATTCTCTCACAGAACGCATAAAATGCAGCCGGCCTGGCTTCTCCGACTCCGACGATTCTCCTCTGTTCACCGAATGGGCACGTTTCTCAGCGATTTCGAATGCTTCCGAACAATTTGTCAGAAATTTCACAGCGACCAACAGGCTGGTCTCTGTCTTCGAACGGCACCGCGATTCGTGTTACGCTACTCGTCGCCCCCTATATTTGTTGGATCGTTGACTTTTTTTAACGTTAAAACTACCGAGGTCCAAACGCGACTAACGTACATTGTTTTATAACGATGCCGAGACTCGATCTATTTAAACTAAAAATAATTATTAAAGATACAAATGTTATATAAAATAAATATATAAAGATTATATAAAATAAATATATAAAGATTATATAAAATAGATATATAAAGATTATATAAATTAGCCCCTTGCACTCGAAGCCATTTTAATTGTAAATCTAAATTAACTTTTCTGACTTATAGTATTTCCATTTTATATGATAAAGTTTTCATTTCATGCAAATATGAAACTGAGATTTGCGACTCGTACAACAGTTAGACTTTTAACAATCTTTCATATCCAAGCTTTGATAATGTAAAAATTATTTTGGTACGTGCTGTAACAATTTTAGTGGTGCGTCAGAGTCACCACTCGAGTGCAAAGGGTTAAATGTATAAATATTACATAAAATAAATATTATAAAAATATATTATAATAATATTATAATAATATTATAAATAAAAATATAGTATATTATATAAATATTATAATAATATTATAAATAAATATATAATACATTATATAAATATTATAATAATATTATAAATAAATATTTAAAATTGTTATAAATTAAAATAATGCACACTTCAATAAAGAAGTGTACCCAAAAATTTCTCCTGGAAATATTTTGATAACATCAGAAACTGTACAGGAAAAAGTCAGAAACCAGTCATTTTGGCTTGTTCGGTATTTGACGGCAAATCCGTGAATTCCCCGAACAATTTTATCGTCCACGTTGCCTCGAGTTCGCCGAAAAGTTTTCACAGCGTTTCTACAATGCAGGCACGCACGATGATGCATCATCGTACATCGTAACGCGCTGTTAGCCGATTGCGCTCGTTTTCTTTCGCAAACCGACGGTACGCGACGCGTCGCGATGCGCGAGAGAGCGAAACGGTTTCTCTGTCAATGAACGACGATCCCATAATTGAGAAAGTTCAAAGAAAACGTTCGTCTTTCGAACCGTGACACCATCGGAAGCCGCCGTTCTATGTCGGTTCGCGCGCGCGCGCGAGCAAGCCAGAAAATTTAACCTTTTGAGCTCCGAATACTCCTGGCCGAAACGGTTCGTAGGGACGGAGCGCGGCTATTCGCTGACCATCGCTGGGGGCGGAATACATTTTTGCCACACCGAAGTGACTATTCAAGGCGCGAACAGTAATAAATTATAGTGATTCTTTCGCAGAAGGTTAAATAATTAATCTTCTGATTCAATGTCCGATGATAGTGATTCACTATATTCTATCTCGCTGTCGTCCCTTGTGAAATATTCCTCAAGATTTGACATTTTGTAGGGTGTCACGAATAAAAAAAAAAATCGAACAAGTTATATTCGGCACTATCGTTGTTGATGCGAGCGAGACCGTGAGGTTCTTACATTCGCAAGACGATACTGCTGACCGAGTCGTTTTGAATGCTTTGAGTCGCGAAAAGGTGACAGTGCGGGTAATTATTTTGAAATCTAATTGGTTAGAGAGTGGGACATAAAGTGGGATTTCCGTTTCGGAAATTCCCGGGGATTTTTATGACCCTAATATTGCCCAACCGCTACCCAAGGAAGGCAAATTACTAACGAGTGCCCCTGTATTAATTTCACACGAAAATGACTGCATATCGATTGAAAAAATCGACAAACGCATATATGCGCCCTTTGTCCAGTCCGATGACTTAGAGAAAACACATAAATGCGGCCTTAGACTACACGGATGACTTTCGCCAAACGCATATATGCGTCCATAGGGCTCTAAGGGTTAATCAATTTGAAATTAACATACCATTAAAATATAACGAAGACAAAAGTACTCGTATGACTTTTAGAAGAAAAATACGTCTAAACAATCGTGCATCTCATCTCGACAAATAAAAAGAAAGCTGAGACACGTTCGTGACGTTGATAAAATACAAATTTCATTTGCAATATTTAGCATCGGTAAAAATGATTTATTTAATTATTGCAAAAATTGATAGTTATATAAGTCGTTGTGAGGAACGATGAGGATTTCACTTCGATCGTTTCACAGAATTGTATTTTTCCGTTTTTGAAAAATCGCATCTGGCCACCGAGGCGGAGTTCTCGAAATTTACAGATTTAGATACGAAAAGATGCGTTTCGACAGGATTTTTTCGACACACGCCTCGCTCGTGCACGCAAATTCTATTAAAACATCCAATCCCGCGGTAAAGAGCGCTAGATTCGACGGACTTATCCGAAATACCGAGTTCAGTTTTAGAAGTTTCGATCCAGCTTAACCGTCCTGTTACTGGCCGATGACTTAGAGAAAACACATAAATGCGGCCTTTGGCTACACGGACGACTTTCGCCAAACGCATATATGCGTCCATAGAGCTCTAAGGGTTAACAGGCGACAGACAGCAGCGTTAGAAGCGTCGATAAAGCCACGTTTCAACGGACACGGAAAATGGAACGTGTGTATAATCGTTTCGGTTCACGAACAATGAGCGTCGCTTTTGGGTCAGTAGTAGTACGGGAACGCCGCGAGGGCTCCGGGCGAACGGTACACAGCCCGATGTAGACTCCTTAACGGTATACGCTCGTAATAATTGCATCACGGCTTTGCCTCCAGCCCTTAGGTCTCTAGCCCCCCGGCTATCAGCTTCGGCAACCGGCTATCAGCCGCCAATCATCGACTGCCCAACCCCTCCACGTTCTCGCGGATTTCTCCGAGCCGGTCGGACAAATGAATTTCCACCCGTTTCTACGGTTAACGGGTCGATAAAATTCCGCGAAGCTTTTCTGTCACCCTTGTCTCGCACGCGCGACCTATTATCGCTCGGGTGATCATTTGACCCATGAACACATTTGTG